ATTTTGTAAACTGATCCCTTCCCTCTTAATGTAAAGCATTGAGCAAGATGACAAGTCATTTTGTGAAAATTTAACTTTTTTTTGTTTGGCCACTATATGTATGACTGCTTTTGTTTATTACTGTATCTTAATAATAATATGTTAAAAAGTAACTTTTGAGTTTCTGTGAGTTTAAAGTATTATCAATTATTTTAAATGTATTACAGTATCAGTAAAGTTGTGACTAAAACAATACTTAAAAAGTTGGATTTGCCCTAGTTGATATAGTAATGTCATTAATGTTACAATTAATTAATAGGCTTAAAAGTTGGATTAGTTCCAATTGATACAACAGTGTCAGTACTGTTACAATTAAAATAACTGGTTTAAAATCTGGATTAGTCTCAGCTGATACAATATATATGATACCAAAGCTTATTAAGGTATACCCATACCTTCATTCCTGCTCTATCTGGAAGTATAATATTATTGAGATTTCAACAGTGATGACCACTAGAACTAAGTCATTTCAATATGCATATAATAAAAACAGCTGTAATAATATGCCATTTCTTTAGACTTCAGTCTTCACATGTTTTGGATATATGTATGTTGTTAGAAACATCTAAACTGTTTGTTATTCAAAAACTGTGCACAGTATAAATACTAAAAATGTGTCAGAATGATAAACACCATAATTAAACTGCACCTTGCCACAGGTCTTGTTTTTAATTGATTTGTCATTGTCTCGATTTACTGACGAGAGATGTAATACCACACAACTAGTCTGACTTAGTAACGTGTCTCAAATCAGTACATTATATTGGTCTCTCTTTTTTTCCAGCATAATGCATAGTTTTGGGGAGAATAAAAATTATAATCTTGCAAACAATATGTCCACTTATAGTGTTGAAGAACTAACTGATGAAATTAATGTCCTTGTACTTTAACCCTTTGTACACAGGTGGGGGTCAAGGTTCATATTCCAGAATATCATTCAATGTAGCATTAAGCATTTGATGTCAGAGTTATCAACTATTCATTTTACATTACTGATTTAGTTACAGTTCATGGTAGGGGAGAGTAAATATTAGATACAATATACAGAAAAAAACTGTATATTCTAGAGGTTGTTTCATGTACACTGTGTTAGTTGTACAATAGACAGAAGTATTTTTATTCATCACATGAGCATCACGTTGCACTCTTACTTTCTCGAGTCTGAGTTATACTGATGTTGTCAATTCACAGACATACCTTGACAACAAATACTTTTGTAACACATCTGTTTTTTTAGGTAAAACAGACTTGTACGTTTTAATACAAACTTGACACATTTCATGTAGATACACATCGTAGTACGTACCTTCTGTAATATGTTGTACGTTCAGTTATACTGATGTTGTCAATTCACAGACATACCTTGACAACAAATACTTTTGTAACACATCTGTTTTTTTAGGTAAAACAGAC